AACAAGGAAACAGTGGAATTAAAGGAAAAAATAGACCAATTTGACTTAACAGGCATATATAGAACACTCCATCTAAAAACAGCAGAATACACATTCTTCTCAAGTGCACACGGAACATTCTCAATGTTGGGAAACAAGGCAGGCTTCAGTAATTTAAGAAGATTGAAATAATAACAAGCATCTTTTCTGATGACAATGCTATAAAGCTAAAAAGTATTACAAGAAAAAAGCTGAGAAAGTTACAAAGATGTGGAGACCAAACAACATGCTATTGAACAAGCAATGGATCACTGAAGAAATTAAGGAAGAAATCAAACAATATCTGGAGACAAATGAAAATGAAAACACACCATACCAACTCATATGGGATGCAGCAAAAGCCGTATTAAGAGGGAAATCCATCTCAATACAGGCTTACCTTAACAAACAAGAAAAATCCCACATAAGCAATCTGAAACTACACCTAACTGAATTAGAAAAGGAAGAACAAAGCCCAAAGTCAGCAGAAGGAGAGAAACAATAAAAATCAGAGCTGAGTGGCTGGCCCCATGGCCGAGTGGTTAGGTTCGCACGCTCTGCTTTGGCAGCCCAGGGTTTCGCCGGTTTGATCCAGGGTGCGGACATGGCACTGCTCATCAAGCCATGCTGAGGCGGCGTCCCACAAGGCACAAGAAGAAGGATGCACAACTAAAAATACACAGCTATATACTGGGGGGCTTTGGGGAGAAAAAGGAAAAATAAAATCTAAAAAAGAAAAAAAAAGAGCAGAAATAAATGCAATTGAAACAAAAAAGTCAGTAGAAAGGATCAATGAAACAAAGAGCTGGTTCTTTGCTAAGATGAATAAAATTGACAAACCCCCAGGCAGACTTACACAGAAAAAAAGAGAGAAAGGTCAGATAAATAAAATTAGAAATGAAAGACAAGAAATAACAATGAATACCAGAAATACAATGGATTTTAACAGAATACCATGAAAAACGATATGCCAACAAAATAGACAATCTAGCGGAAGTGGATAAATTCTTAGACTCTTACAACCTCGCAAGGCTGAATCAAGAAGCAGCAGACAATCTGAACAGACCAGTGACAAGGAAAGAGATTGAAACAGTAATCAAAAGCATCGCAAAGATTAAAAGCCCAGGATCAGACAGCTTCCCTGGGGAATTCTACCAAACTTTCAGAAAGGATTTAATACCTATCCTTCTCCAGCTATTCCAAAAAATCAGGGAAGATGGAATGCTTCATAATACATTCCAAGGCCAACATCACTCTGATACCAAAGCCCGACAAGGACAACACAAAAAACGAAAACTACAGGCCAATATTGCTGATGAACATAGACGCAAAAATCCTCAACAAAATACTGGCAACCCGAATACAGCAATACATTAAAAAGATCAAACATCATGATCAAGTGGGATTTATACCAGGGACACAGGGATGGTTCCACATCCGCAAATCAATGTGATACAGCATGTTAACAAAATGAGGAATAAAAAACACATGATCATCTCAACAGATGCAGAGAAAGCATTTGACAAGATCCAACAACTGTTCATGATAAAAATTCTTAAGAAAATGGGGATAGAAGGAAATTGCCTGGACATAATAAAGGCTGTATATGACAAATCCACAGACAACATCATACGTGATGGGGAAAAAGTGAACATCATCCCTCTGAGAACAGGAACGAGACAAGGATGCCCACTATCACCACTCTTATTCAACACAGTACTGGAGGTTTTGGCCAGAGCAATTAGGCAAGAGAAAGGAATAAAAGAAATCCAAATAGGGAGTGAAGAAGTGAAAATCTGTTTGCAGACGACATGATTTTATAGATAGAAAACCCTAAAGAATCCATCAGAAAACTATTAGAAATAATTAACAACTACAGTAAAGTTGCAGGGTACACAATCGACTTACAAAAATCAGCTGCATTTCTGTACTCTAATAACAAACTTACAGAAAGAGAAGTCAAGAATACAATTCCATTTACAATTGCAACAAAAAGAACAAATTACCTAGGAATAAATTTAACTATGGAAGTGAAGGACTTATACAATGAGAACTATACGACATTATTGAAAGAAAAAGATAATGACATAAAGAGATTCCATGCACATGGATTGGAAGAATAAACACAGTTAAAATGTCCATACTATCCAAAGCAATCTACAGATTCAATGCAATCCCAATAAAAATCCCAATGACATTCTTCATGGAAATAGAACAAAGAATCCTAAAATTCATATGGGGCAACCAAAGATCCCAAATTGCTAAAGCAACACTGAGAAAAAAGAATAAAGCTGGAGGCATCACAATCCCTGACTTCGAAATGTACTACAAAGCCATAGTGATCAAAACAGCATGGTACTGGTACAAAAACAGACACACAGATCAATAGAACAGAACCAAAAGCCCAGAAATAAAACCGCACACATACGGACAGCTAATCTTTGGAAAAGGAGCCAAGAACATACAATGGAGAAAAGACAGTCTCTTCAATATATGGTGTTGTGAAAACTGGACAGCCACATCCAAAAGAATGAAAGTAGACCACTGTCTCATGCCATATACAAAAATAAACTCAAAATAGATCAAAGACTTGAAGATAAGTCCTGAAACCATAAAACCCCTGGAAGATAATATAGGAGTACACTCTGACATCGAACTTAAAAGGATCTTTTCGAATATCATGTCTTCTCAGACAAGGGAAACAAAAGAAAAAATAAAGAAGTAGGACTTCATCAGACTAAAGAGCTTCTGCAAGGCAAAAGAAACTACCATCAAAACAAAAAGACAACCCACCAATTGGGAGAAAATATTTGCAAATCATATATCCAATAAGGGGTTAATCTCCATGATATAAAAGGAACTCACACAACTGAACAACAAGAAAACAAACAGCCCAATCAAAAAATGGGCAGAGGATATGAACAGACATTTTTCCAAAGAAGATATACAGATGGTCAATAAACTCATGAAAAGATGTTCAACATCACTAATCATCAGGGAATTGCAAATCAAAACTACACTAAGATACCACCCTACACCTGTTAAAATGGCTATAATCACTAAGACTAAAAATAAACATTGGAGAGAGTATGGAGAAAAAACCACTGGTGGGAATGGAAACTGGTGCAGTCACGATGGAAAACAGTATGGAGCTTCCTCAAAAGACTAAAAATAGACATACCATTATGACCCAGCTATCCCAATAGTAGGTATCTACCCAAACAACATGAAAACAACAATCCAAAGTAACATATGTACCCCATGTTCACTGCAGCACTATTCACAGTAGCCAAGACATGGAAACAATCCAAGTGCCTATCGATTGATGATTGGGTAAAGAAAATGTGGTACATACAGAGAATGGAATACTACTCAGCCATAAAAAAGGACAAAATCATCCCATTTGCAACAACATGGATGGACCTGGAGCGAATTACGCTAAGCAAAAGAAGCCAGACTGAGAAAGACAAACACCATATGATTTCACTCATATGTGGAATATAAACAAGCACATGGACAAAGAAAACAGTTCAGTGATTACGAGGGGAAGCGGGTAGGGGAGTAGGCACAGGGGGTGAAAGGGAGCACTTATGTGGTGACAGACAACAATGTGCAACTGAAATTTCACAATGATGTAAACTGTTAGGAACTCAAATTAAAAAAATATGAAATTAAAGGAAAAAAAAAGAGTACACTGAATGAATCTATTCCTTGCAACCCAAAGATCCCAAAGAACATAGATGCTCAATTCCAGCTGACAGTCTCCTTATTGTCCCTGCTCTGGCTCAAGTTTTATTTCCTGTCTGCAATGGTCCTGTCTTCTCTTATCTCCAAACCCTACTCGATATTAGCACAAATTCAAACTTTACCTTCTTCCTGAAGTCTTCCCTCATCCCTCCCATATCAACTGGATTTCTCCCTTCTCTGAACGCCTGTTGTATTTGTTGTCTTTTGCATTCATAGCAGCATCCAAGATTATACTTTTTTGAATATTAATTGTTTGATGTAGGCTTTTAAAAATCTCCTTCTGTGTGTTTACTGACTACCTATGGATAATGATTATCTCCTAAAATTTGGAACAACAGAAGTCCTCTAACCTGAAGCAACTGAGAGTGGTATCTGGTATGTTAGGCAAGAAAGCTGGTTAAAGTGGAGATTGATAAAAGATATCTGAAACATTTAATTTTAATTAAAATATATAAATTTATATGCATCTGCTCATTTCTGATGTGAAGTTAAGCCTTCTCTATGAGAGTGATTTTAATAATTGAGTGCCCATACCCATCATGTATCAAGTTTCTGTTTCATTAAAGTGGAATAAGGAAATGACACGTGGGAAACATAGCTGCAGAATCCTCTGAGATTTTTATGATTTTCCTTTGGTGTCTTATGGTTTTGCTCACACCTAATTTGACAGCAACTTTTTAAAAAGTGACTGGCATTCACTGAGTTTTTTCCAAGCATTCAACTAATTTTCATAGAAACAGTTCCTTGTTACACTTAAACCTTATCAGTTTATGTAATACTTAATCAAATCACAGAATTGTAACAATAAGATTAAACAGGTTTTGAAAGAGATACAACAAATTCTTGGTAACATTAACTTGTGGCAGCAGATGTCCTTAGGCACATTTAATAATCCCATTAGCTCCAAGCAGTCATAGTGACCTGGGCATCATTCATAGTTTACAGAGAGAATGGCAAGTGTTTAAATACTGATAAAGGGTCATTAAAAGACAGTCTAAGCCTTTTGTTCCTTTATAAGATCTAGCACAGACATGAGCCTATGATCTGCTAGGAGAGAAGATCTACAAAGGGGCATATAAGGTGAATGGGAAACATCCTATAGAGACGACCATCTGTCACAAGAGTCTCAAGGACTCTGGAATTTGGGGGTTAGCACTTCTGAGAATTGAAAAATGAAAGTGTCTGCATTCGGAGAACTACAGTAGCATTTCAGAGGAGAGTAAAACTGAACTCACCTGGGACCTGACTATCTGTGATCTATCATTCATTTCCTTCTCCTCCATGTTCCCCTCCTGGGAAAGTACAGCATTCTGAGAAGGCATAAATGGGAAAAAGAGAAAAGAAGCATCTTGTCAACACATGATATTACGGCTGAACGTAAATCTTAACGCTTTTTCTTCGTGTTGGGATGGCACACAACTTACAGAGAATCCCTTTAAGACACAAGCTTAAAGGCTGGATGGATGACCTAACTGTGACATTCTTGCTTCTCTATTACATTGAGGATTTCAGTGCAGGGCTTTCTCTCCTCTGTGGTACAATTCCCCTTGTCGTGGCATATGGGAAGCTCAAGAGAGCTCAGTGGTTTTCAGCCTTAGTTACACATTTGGGGAATTTAAAAAAGATGCCAATGCTCAGCCCCTCTTCCCAGAGATTTGGATTTACTTGGTCTGGTGTGGGCCTGGGCAACAGCATTTTAAATTCTAAAGTCTCCAAGTGATTTTAAGTGGGAGATGAGAACCACTGAGATGAGGTGATTCAGAGGACATATGTTGAGGGCCTATTCTTACTCTTTAACGGAATAAATTTACCCCAAACTCAAACTCTAGAGATTTTCTCTCCTTTACTCTAAGATGATCCTTCTAATATATAAAGGAGATTTCACTCTTCTCACTTTTCAGAACATTCACCTTCCTTTTTGAGTACGTGAAGTCAGTTCTCCTCCATGATTACTACACCTCTTTGCAGTTCTTAAGTTGTAATGTCAACAAAGCTTTGTTCTCTTCTAGTGTTGACAGTCAGTAGATGCAGCAGTATTAACAGCTCCAGTATCCCTGTCAGTCCCTGAAAGCTAATTTTCCAGTACCTTATGGGGAACAGCCACTCCCAGGTATTAAAAGTGCCTAATCTCTGATGAGAGCCTCAAGAGCCAATGGACATGCACAAGAATGATTTCTGCTTCCCAGAGGCAAACACTCATTCATGAAGAGTTGAGATGTGGGGGCTCCTGAAAGAGGCTATTACTTTTTTTTCCCTAAAGGCATTAATCTTTCATGTACTGACTTCACTATGATATTCAAATCTGTCTCCTGGCATGGATCTTGTAAGATACAATTTCAGGTTGAGCACCTGTTATGAGATGCACCAGTCAGCAGAAGAAATCCAGCAGTCTCAGTCACCTAGGGACCTACAGAGTCTGTAAAGAGACATACAAACTATTCATTCATAAAGATAGAGCACAGCAGGATGCAGAATTCTTTAAAACAAGCAAAAAGCATTTTTACAATTTTTCAGATTCACACATTACAAAAAGCAGAGACGTATATAGATGCATCAACTACAACAAACTTAGCCTCTGTCCTTTTCCACCCTCTTCTCAGAATAGAAAACAATGTGGTCCTTGCCTAGTGAAACTCTTTCAGAAAAACTCTTCCTCTTTCTGAGGAAAAAACAGGCCTTTCACCAGCACCAATGAGAGTGAAACGTATTGATCTGCTAAAAATCATGAAAGAATACATTGTTTTTCTGTTAACAAAGGTTGACCTGCAAAACTTTCAAAAGCTAGTGATGGGGGGCTGGCCCGGTGGCACAGGGTTAAGGTCGCAAGTTCTGCTTCGGTGGCCCAGGGTTCGCCAGTTCAGATCCAGGTGCGGACATGGGACCACCTGGCAAGCCAGGCTGTGGCAGGGGTCCCACGTATAAAGGTAGAGGAAGATGGGCATGGATGTGAGCTCAGGGCCAGTCTTCCTCAGCAAAAAGAGGAGGATTGGCAGCAGATGTTAGCCCAGGGCTAATCTTCCTCAACAACAACAACAACAACAAAAGCTAGTGATGGAAATAAAGAAGGAAGCTATTTCTCAGAAGCAATTTTTTAAAAGGAGAAAAGTGCAGTTCCAGTGGAATGGCCCTGTTAGAAAAGGAAGCCATTCACTGCCCAAGACATGGCACAAATTTCACATTTTACAACCAGTTTATTAAGAAGTAGACTTTTCAGGAGTAATTTTAAAGCACTTTAAGAAGCAAGTCCTTATCTTACCAAGCAAAAGCTCTAAGAAGGTCCTACTGTCTGAAGAGCCAGTCAGAATCTTTGAGAATGCTCTGAGGTTACACACCTAATCACCTTAACACCGTTCATTCACAACAACAAGAATCATATACCAAGTTAGGCAGAACAGGGTTTCTCCTTCATATGTGCAAACTGAAAGGGGCTCCAGAGATTACTTGCTTGAGGTCTTCCTGTGCTAAGTCACATCTCACTGTCTGTTATTCATAAAAAGGGACCAAATCAAGCTTGGAAAATGCTGGCTTCAACAAAGTTAAAATAGTTTCTTTGCTGCAAATCTTCTCAGAGACTTTCATATGGTAATGTACATTGTGAATCCCAGAAAAACCCAAGGCGATGAGGAACAGGTCAAATAATTATATACTGTGCACAAGGTTTCCCAAATATAGTTAATTTGAGAATTTTTTTATGGCAACTGATGGGTATAGGGTTCCACAGAACACACCTGTGGAAATGCTGACTTATTTCTCAGTTCCTTGGTTAATGAAGGATTCCAAAGTTGAAGATCACAAAACTAAGTGAAAGAGCTGGTTCTAGAACCCATGTCTCCTGATTCACAGTCCTGAGCTCCTTCTACTATACTCTGAAGTCCTTCTTAGAACTTGTTCGCTTCTTTTCCTTGTCTTATTTCATCCTCGTTCTTCTTATAATTTCCCTTTTAATTCCTGTATTGGAAAGAACACAAAAAGAAAGCCACTCCCGACCCCAAAACTTGTGTGTAATTCTTCATACAATACACATGTGGACCTTTCTAGAGACGCCTGTGGGATTGCCACAGTCTTTCTCAAAAAAGTAACCATGATGGCCTGGAAAGTAACAAATTCCCTTGAGTGCCTAAGGAATACTAGAATTGCAATCAATTCAGACGGAGAATGAGTCTGGGCTTAACAGTTTTCCTTTACCTGGAATTCTTCCAAAACTCTGAATGAACTTCAATAACCATGTAGAAAACCCATGTAGTGGTTCTCAATCTGGGCTGTGCATTAGACGCAGCCCAGATTTTAAAACATACAGATGTAAATATATACATGTCTAGGCTCCACCCAAAAGCTCCTAAATCAGAATGTGCTGAGTTGTCTGGTATCTGTATACTTTTTAAATGCCCCAAAAATGATTTTTGATGCAAGGAAGAGTTCAGAACAACTATCAGACCCTTTCATTTCCTTGATTTCCTCAATTACAATGATTTTCACCATCATTCAACTTCAGTCACCCACTTCAAGAGCCACAACACTTCTGAAATCTTTCTTACCTTACAAAAGACTAGACTGTGAATCAGGAGGCCACGGTTCTAGACTGCATGGGGAAGACCTGAAGATAGGAGTGGCTTAGTAGACAGGGGGAAAATAGAAAAATGAGCAGTATTTACCAAAATGTGGTCTGAAGATCACTTGAATCGTGGTACTTATTGAAAAGCATATTCACTAGTCCTATCCCAGATCTAAGGAAATAGACCCTCAGGGGGTATTATTGGCCCAGGAATTTGTATTCAAAGGTGCTTCCTCCTTGGAATCAGTCCATTCTTTCCAGCCTCCCTCCAGGCCTGAATGTGGCAGGTATCTTCTTATTACTATTTCTTCATCTTTCACTTTTACTGACTCCTTCCCATCATCATTTAAAATAATTTAATGTCTTTCAATATTAAAAACTTTCACTGGCTACAGACCCCCATGCAATTATCATCCTTTCATTTTTCAAGGCCACGACTCTTCAAAGGATTGTCAATTCTTGTCTCTTCCTTATTGCCCTTTTCCAATTCTCTATAATCTGGCTTCTGCTCTGCCCTCAACACTCCACTGAAATTGCTCTGGTCAGGAATACGAAAAACCTTTTTGTTGTTCATGCAATGGACCTCATTATTTCTTACTCACTCGAGCTCTGACAGTAGCTGATACTGCTGATAGCTGCATCTTGCTTTACTTCCATGGTCTCTCAGTGGGTTATGCTCTGTCTTTTCCTCTGCCTACCACTTATATGTTGTCATTCCTTAGGATTTCCCAAAAGCTACTCTGGTTGACTCCAAAGTTGAAGTAAAGGGATCTTTAAAAGATACAAACCTGATCATGTCAATCCCTCACTTAAAATTCTTCAGCAGCCTCCTACCACTCTTAGGTTGGAGTACAAAGCCATAAAGACTCCTATGACCTGCTTCCTGACCTCTCAAGCCACTCTCTTGTTTGCTTCTGAGGCTTCATCCACACTGTCCTATACTTTTAGGTGCTTAAATGTGCCATATTTGGTACAGTACTCATCGCATTCCTCCCCCCAGACAATATCTACTTTTCCTTCAAGTCTCGGCTTAAATCAAGGAAGATTTTGACATCGCAGATCAAGTGAGGTCCCTAATTTACAACTTCTTCTTTTAGGTAGCACTTTTTATCATTGTAATTATTTGTAGAGTCATCCATTTTTTAAAAAATTTTTATTCATTTATTTGTGAGGAAGATTCGCCCTGAGCTAAGAACTGCTGCCATTCCTACTTTTTTTGCTTGAGGAAGATTAGCCCTGAACTAATATCTGTGCCAATCTTCCTCTACTTTTTTATGTGGGATGCCTCCACAGCATAGCTAATGAGTGGAGTAGGTCCGCACCCGAGATCCAAACCTGTGAACCTGGGCCGGAGAAGCAGAGCGCGCGGAACTTTAACCTCTCGGCCACGGGGCCAGCCCCTCAGAGTCATCCGTTTTTATTCATACCTCACATTGTGTGATGTTAATCTCCATGAAGGCAGGAAACTGTTCTGTCTTATTTACCATTCTGTATTCGATGCCCAGTGTGTGGCTCACGGTAGGTACTCAATAAATATTTGCTAAATAAGTAAATGAAAGTGTTCTGGTGCTTGCTCTTCTATTTTGTAATTTTTAATTTTGAACCAACTTTATAGTATAGTTGTAAAAGTAGTATTGAGTTCCCATATACCATTCACCCTCCTTGTCCTACTGTTAACATTTCACATAACCACGGTACAATGATCAAAACCAGGAATTTAATACTGGCATAATACTATTTATTCAAATTCCACCAGTTTGTCCACTAATATTCTTTCTGTGATCCAGGATCCCACATTACGTTTGTTATTTTCCTTAGTCTCCTCCAATCTGTTCCTCAGGCTTTCTGGCTTTCATGAGCTTTCAAGAGTAGTGCTGTGTTACTTTATAGAATTTTGTCCCTCAGTTTGGGTTTGTCTGATGTTTTCTCATGACTGGAATAAATTTAAGCATTTTTGGTAAGAATACCACAGAAGTGATCTTGTGTCTTTCTTAGTGCATCAGATTAATGGGCTTAAGATGTCAATATGTCTTACTAATGGTAACATTAACCTTTATCACTTGGTTAAGGTGGTGTCTACCAGGTTTCTCCACTATAAAGTTATCTTTTCCTTTGTAGTTAATAAATATTTTGGGAGAGATAATTTAAGACTATACGAATATTCTGATTTTTCTCAAACTCACTAATTTTAGCATCTATCAATGTATCTTGCCTGCAGCAATTATTAACAAATGGTTATTTTTATATTTCCCGCTTTCCTACTAATTTATTAATTGGAACTTTTCTATAAGGAACAACTGCTCCTTATCTCTTATTCATTTATTTATTAGCTTATTTAATTTCTATCTGTATGGACTCATGGATATTTATTTTATTCTAGGAGTTAAAATCCAATACTATCATTATTTTATTGCACAAATTGTTCCAGCTTTGGCCATTAGGAGGCTGCTCCTGTGTTATTTGGACTAAACTCTATCCTATTTTGAGCACTTCCTCACTGCTTGACAACATAAGATGCTCTAGGCTCCAGTATTTTTCCTACCCAGCCCTGCCTGGAATCAACCACTTCTCCAAGGAACCCTGGTTCTGTTTATTGGAGAAGTGTTTAGAAATAAAGATCTGGGCACTAGGTATGCTTATTGCTATTGGGGTATCATTGCTTCTAGGTCCTCTCAGCAGACGGAGCTGGGAAATATATATATATGTATGCATATTAACTACATTTATACAGTCACGCACTGCATAACAATGTTTCAGTCAGCGATGGACTGCACATACGACAGTGGTCCTAAAAGGTTAGTACCTTGTAGTCTAGGTGTGTAGTAGGATACACCATCCAGGTTTGTGTAAGTACAATCTATGATGTTTACACAATGGCAAAATAGCCTAATGACGTTTCACAGAATGTATTGCTGTTGTTAAGTGATGCATGACTGTACGTACTTCTACTGTGTCTATGTATTAAATACCATGAGTTCACACTGACATCTTCGATTCCAATCTGATATCACATGGCTCATTTTAATCTTCCCCCTTTCCTTACTGGCAACTTCTTTCTTCAACAGTGAAAAACTGTTGGCTCTCACTATCTACAATATATTCCCTTACTTGTTCAGTTTTGGTGTATACATAAAGTAGGTTCAGCACTGCTAACTCATAACCCTGTGAGAAACACATTTACTAACTTGTTTACAGAATTTATGTAGAGTTCTCTTTGTCTTTAGCCTTTCAAGCATCCAGTCAAGACAGTGTTTCCTAAAGTTATTTAGGATAGTTCTTTTCTTCGCCACTTCCTTCAGTCTGGTTACGTTATTCATTTGTAATACAGTTAGGTCCATTTGTTAGTATTTGTATTCATTCTCTTCTATTTTTATTCTATTTACTCTCAGATGGCTTCACCCATTGCCATGGCTTCACTGATCATCTTTTCTGAGCTACCTAACCAGACACATACCTTATGGAACAACCCCATGTAGATGTCTCTCAGATTTCTCAAGCCTAACATGTCCAAAACTCATTCTCTCCTAGCCTCTTGCCATGAATTTGCCATAGAGTAAAGTATATTAGAACACTGACTCTATAGCCAAACTGACTGGGTTTGATTCTCAGCTCTACAACTTACTAACCACCTGAGTTTGGTTGAGCAAGTTACTCAACTTCTTGGTGCTTCAATTTCCTCATGTGTAAAAGTAGGAATAACAGTACCTACCTCATAGGTTTGTTGTGAGGATTATGGGAGACAATATTTGTAAATATTTAGAATGTATTAGCACATAGTTAGCAGTATTTATATATGTTACATATAATTCTTACTCTATTATATTCCATATCTCACTACCAACCCTGAAACCTGAATGCCCTCCCCGACCTCTTTCTTTCCCTTAGTTTCTCTACCCAATCAAATGTCGAAACCTGGTAAATTTACCCCCTTAACTATCTAGTAAATGATCCATCTTCACTTTCACTACTTGGTTCACGTCACTATCATCTCTCACTTTGATTAGTGCCATACCCATCTAATGGGTCCTTGACTTTAGTCCAACATTTTCTTCACACTGCAGCCAGAATGATCATTCTCCACACCCCTTGTCTACTGTGGACACTTTCATTTTATTTTCTGACAAATATTAAAACAAAAATTTTAGTAAATATAGAAAAGCATTAAGAAAGTCACCTATAATGTCATTATCCAGAGATAACTAGTTACTTTTGTGGGGGATATATCCTTTTGGGCTTTTCTATGGAAACACACACACACACACTAATATGGCGTATGTTGTTGTTATATAAGTAATTTTCGTTCTTTTTTTTTTTGAGGAAGATTAGCCCAGAGCTAACATCTGCCGCCAATCTTCCTCTTTTTGCTGAGGAAGACTGGCCCTGAGCTAACATTTGTGCCCATTTTCCTCTACTTTATATGTGAGGCGCCTGCCACAGCATGGCTTGATAAGTGGTGGGTAGGTCTTTGTCCGTGATCTGAACTGGAGAACCCTGGGCTGCTGAAGCAGAGCTTGTGAACTTATCCACTGTGCCATGGGGCTGGCCCCTAAGTTTCTTTTTTCCAACTTGTATTTTTATTGACAATACTGGGTATATCACTTCATGATAGAAAAGAAAAATATAAATATGCATTGAAAGAAATAGATTCATAGTATATTCCATTGCATGCAATACCCCAAGTTTATTTAACAAGTTCATTATTAATAGACATTTAGAATGCTTTCTTATTTTCTTTCTTTCTTTTTGCTGTTACAGACAACAGCAAACATTGTACCGTTTTGGCATAATTTTATCTGACTATTTCCTTAGGATAAATTCCTAGAAGCAGAACTGCTGGGTCAAAGGGAAGGTAAAATCTGTTCAGGGAGGTTGTATCAATTTACATATACATCAACAACATATGAGAACGATCATCAGCCAACGTTAGGCATTATTCTTTTTAAATTTAATACAGAGAAGGTATTTATTTGCTGCTTTAATATGCAATTCTTAGATAACATGAGACAGAACTTTTTATATTTTCAGCTTTTATATTTTTTCTTTTATAAATTACCCTTTCATATCATTTGTCCATTTTTCTACTGTACTTTTTCTTATTGATCTGTAAGAGTCTTTTATTATAGTGTGCAGTAAAGGATTGACTGAACACGTTTAGATGGTCCAAACTCTGCACATTCCTTGGAAAGATGTGACCCTAGCCTGGCTACTGGGAGATAACCTATAAGCCCTTGGAATATCCTGCCTGCTAAGAGTGTCTCTGTTCACCTGAGGCCTTGTGCCAGGTCAGACAGTTTATGCTAACAATGGGATTTATGGTGGGAACCTTAGAGCATGGTATCAACTTGCCTATGGAGGGGCTGGAGACTGAAGGTCAGCAACTCAGGTGGTCAGTCACGCCTACATGACCAACTTCCAATAAGTTGGTCACCAAATCATTGTGACCAAGGCTTGGACACCAAGCCTAGGATGAGCCTGGCTAAGGCTTGGAAGAGCTTCCCTGGTTGGAAATACTGCATACATATTGTCACACATCGTGGCTGGGAGAATTAAGCACTACCTGCACAACTCCATTGAGAGAAGACAACTGGAAGCTGGTACCTGGTCTCTCCTCGATCCTGCCCTATGTGCTTTTTTTCCGTTGCTGATTTTAATCTGTATCTTTCACTGTTAATACTCATGTTACTGTGAATTTAACAGTTTTGCTGAGTTCTCTAAGTCCTTCTAGCAAATCTGTGAACCCGAGAGTGGTCTTGGGGACTTCTGAACACAGATAGTAACCAGCAACTTCTTTGTCATAACATAAACACACAAATATAGTCTCCATTTCATCATCTGTCTTTTATTTTTGCTTCGTTTAAAAAAGAGTTAATTAGGGGCCGGCCCTGCGGCTGAGTGGTTAAGTTCACTGGCTCCTCTTTGGCGGCCCAGGGTTCTCCAGTTCAGATCCTGGGCATGGACCTAGCACTGCTCATCAAGCCATGCTGTGGTGGCATCCCACATAGAAGTAGAATGACTTACAACTAGGATATACAACTATGTGCTGGGGCTTTGAGGAGAGGAAAAAAAAAAAAAGGAAGATTGGCAACAGATGTTAGCTCAGAACCAATCTTTCCCCCAAAAAAAGTTAGTTAAAAAATTTTCTGCATTATAATATATGGGTTTTTCTCCCCCCCTCT